GGTGAGTACTCATTGCCAGGAAACTCTGGACCGTAAGATTTGAACTCAGACATGGAAATTTTCGAACGATCTACTTCCCTCTCTGGCTCTTCATCAGCTACTCTTTTCGGTCGTATGCTTGACACTTTAATGATCTCTATAAGATTTAACTTTAGGGCAAAGCAGGCGCGAAATCGAAGTGTTGCATTGGATCACTCTCAAAGTACCAATACTTTTGACCCATGTTCAGGACTATACCAACCTGCTCGAGAAAATCCATACCTATGTATAACAGTACGGATACCACACGCGTTAGGCAATATAACAAATTCAATATTGAGACGACGACCACCAATCAAAATTTCGCAGACGGTGGATAAGCACGCGCGAGTGGATGTACTACCATCAGCTAGAGCAATCAAACATTTAACTTTTTGGTATTTGCATCCCTTGAAATCCATGACGGACTTCAAGTTTGCACTCGCTGCGCTTGTACGTGAACCAGAATCAAAAAATGCTTGACGTGGGACACCAAAAAGTTGAACGTTTACCATAGGAATGTCTCTTCCAATACCAAGAGCAGTTATATTGTTGAAATTTGCGAAATTGTCAGCGGGTGGACTTTTATTGCGACAAGTTGTGCAATTTTCGCGAGCAACACCTGGCGCGTTACACCAATAACATGCAAATTTGGGCTTCACAGCTACGGCCTGTGCAATAGCAGCTGACTGAGCTTCAGCAGCATTAGCTTTTCGCCTTTTGAAGCAGTTTTCTAGCGTATGCCCCTTCTTGCGGCAAAAATTACAACGTAAAGCTACTTCAGCAATACTCGCACTCTTTGGAACATGTTCGAAATTCACCGTTTTACGTTCGCTTACAAAATGTTCAGCCTCTCCTGCTTCACTAAGTAATTGCTCATAAGACGAAACCGTTTGTCGGCTACTCTCTCACGGATTTGCGCGTGCAACATACCAAACAGCATATCTAGTTGTTCTGCTTCGGCAGGAACATTCTGAAGCTGCGTACATAATGCTCGCTTCTTCCTAATGACGGTGTCCGTAGACTCGTTCTTTATGTTTTATGTTTTATTTCACAAATTTCAGAATAAATACGCCATGCTGGCTTTGGTGGTCAAAAGCTTTCGCGCGTACGACCACAGTATATACAGTAATAAACCTTTTCGCAGCTTTTCACCAATTAATCCCCGAGGAGTACTTTTGGGTTGTGTGCAACTGTTGGGAATTTCGCCTCATGATTAGAAAAAGTTCTTTTCGGCGATGAAATATATGAAATTATGTGTTATTTATGAACAAAATGTAGGTGAAGTATAATATCACTGCTAAATTAAGAATAATATCAATAGTTAAGTAGGTACATAATTAACGCTTATGTTTCCATAAACTGGAAAACTCAAATCGTAGTTATAGCACTGAATGGAGTTTACCGAAATGTAGATTTAAAATTTAAGAAATCTCTATTGTAAGATTATATTTTTATGAAAAAAGTGAATTTTATGTTTTGTGAATTTATCAAGTAAAGTTCTAAAATTCCGAATATATTTAAGTTTTAATTCCAAAAAAAAACGAGTTTTGTATAGTTATAGAGACTCCAATTCCTGCCAGCGCATCCGCCCAGACAGCTCATTAAGCACACCCAAGTTTAAGCGACCATTACCCGTAGCTCCTCAAAAATACTTAATATCGACTTGTTCAAAGTATAGAATGTCACAACTATCAATCATACACACATACAATCGTAATTTCTTTGAATGGCTACTATATAAATTCAAGACATGCGTTTGCTTGGAGACTCCGTTGGTTATGGTGGTCATAACTTCTGCCAGCACATTCAATGGTCCATTACCCGAAGCTGCTCCAACATCATGATGTATAGATTTAAATGAGTCTCACATGCCACTGTCTCTGGCTACAAGCTGGATATGAAATTCACTACTCGGAGAAACTTCAAATAATGTGCTTTTTATGTAAATTTGGTTTAAGTACTAGCGTTTTCAGTATTTAAAAATTCATTATCATTTACGGTGTTATATAACCAGTTAAACACTGAACTATGATGATCTGTATTAGTATCTATATTAATAGGGAATAAAATCCAATTTTGCACTTCTGTAATAAAATTCGGCCACTATTATATAGTCATGTATTGTGCCACTCTGTCATAGCACGGTTGTTGCTCCATTTCATACCACAGTAATTTTGTATACAACTCTGAATCAACAAATTTCATGCTCCTTCTCATAATCAACCCTGATCACATTTTAACCCCGAGGAGTACTCAAAAAGGTTTATTACTGTATATACTGTGCGTACGACGTCGGCAAAACCAGCAAACTCGTCCTTTAGACCACGCCAGCACTCTGCAGCATAACTCTGAAGCAACATTGCCATACCTTTAACCCTTAGACGGGCAAGAGAGAAATATCGGGTTTTTATTTTTAGGAATTTTTGTTTCAGGATAACTTTGTTACACTGATCTCATATTTGAAGGCCACTTGCCAAATTTTTAATTGTTGGGGCGCTGGGTCCAAAAAATTGAACACCGTCTGTAAACGGTCTTGCCTGTGTAAGGGTAAAAAATAAACCAGGTGTTTATAGATATAAAATGAAAGAAAACAATTTTATTCAAGCAAAATTACTGATTAACACAGTTAAAAATATTGTAATATTGATTTTGTATTATTCACGCGAGTGATAGTCTTTAAAACAGTTTTTGGTACGCGAAAAACATAAATGTAGTTTACATTTTGTACAAAAAGTTTGAGTATCGGATTTCTTGCACAGTTTGCATGACTTCTTTGAACCCCACTCAGGAATATGGCTAAGCTGGTCATACCTTATTTCTCCCACGGGGTGTGTTGCTCGTTTACCAATAGTGTTATTGCTAAGGACAGGCTGTGGTGCGTTTGATGGCCGACCAACTGTTGGCTTGTCGGCAGAAATACTAAGAGCTTTAGCTAATTCCAAGCGAAACTGGTACAGCGTCAAATCTTTTTCTTTCCCTTCTTCCTCTGTAAATGATGATTTCTTACAACGGTACAGAATAAAAGCATTGGTAGTAGCCATATCCAGTAGATGATAAAAGATACGCGTCATAGTTTTTATACGCAATGTATTCTCTCTTCTTTCTATTGCATTCTTGGAGTTGATTTGCATCGTGAAGACCAGTAAAGTTGGGATTTAAAATTATACCATCGTAATCCCTGTTTAATTCTCTATAAAAAACGTGGTTAAAAAAAATGGGGTTTTCCAAGAACTATTTTTAAAATACTTTTTTTTATGACGAGATGGTTTATTTTGTAAGAANTCTCATATTTGAAGGCCACTTGCCAAATTTTTAATTGTTGGGGCGCTGGGTCCAAAAAATTGAACACCGTCTGTAAACGGTCTTGCCTGTGTAAGGGTAAAAAATAAACCAGGTGTTTATAGATATAAAATGAAAGAAAACAATTTTATTCAAGCAAAATTACTGATTAACACAGTTAAAAATATTGTAATATTGATTTTGTATTATTCACGCGAGTGATAGTCTTTAAAACAGTTTTTGGTACGCGAAAAACATAAATGTAGTTTACATTTTGTACAAAAAGTTTGAGTATCGGATTTCTTGCACAGTTTGCATGACTTCTTTGAACCCCACTCAGGAATATGGCTAAGCTGGTCATACCTTATTTCTCCCACGGGGTGTGTTGCTCCTTTACCAATAGTGTTATTGCTAAGGACAGGCTGTGGTGCGTTTGATGGCCGACCAACTGTTGGCTTGTCGGCAGAAATACTAAGAGCTTTAGCTAATTCCAAGCGAAATTGGTACAGCGTCAAATCCTTTTCTTTCCCTTCTTCCTCTGTAAATGATGATTTCTTACAACGGTACAGAATAAAAGCATTGGTAGTAGCCATATCCAGTAGATGATAAAAGATACGCGTCATAGTTTTTATACGCAATGTATTCTCTCTTCTTTCTATTGCATTCTTGGAGTTGATTTGCATCGTGAAGACCAGTAAAGTTGGGATTTAAAATTATACCATCGTAATCCCTGTTTAATTCTCTATAAAAAACGTGGTTAAAAAAAATGGGGTTTTCCAAGAACTATTTTTAAAATACTTTTTTTTATGACGAGATGGTTTATTTTGTAAGAATCAACAATTTTTTGTAATTTGTTTTCGAAAACTTATGTTGAGATATATTTAGTAAGGTGTTAAACATAGAGTTTTTGCAAAAATTTAAATTTTATTGCAGATTCCCATAGAATACCTTTACCGGTATAATATTTGTACGGCAAGATGGGCGTGGCAATTGTATGACTAAACTTTGCAAACCGCAGATTTTATTGCGGATTTCGGCAGAATATCGCTTCGTTAACAACATTTGTTCCACAACTTTTCTTAGCTTTAAAATAAGCTAATAGCCCCGCTATCAAATTAACCTGCGAAGATGATTTAGTACGCTTTCGCTAGCTATAAGATTTTGTTNTAAAAAAAATGGGGTTTTCCAAGAACTATTTTTAAAATACTTTTTTTTATGACGAGATGGTTTATTTTGTAAGAATCAACAATTTTTTGTAATTTGTTTTCGAAAACTTATGTTGAGATATATTTAGTAAGGTGTTAAACATAGAGTTTTTGCAAAAATTTAAATTTTATTGCAGATTCCCATAGAATACCTTTACCGGTATAATATTTGTACGGCAAGATGGGCGTGGCAATTGTATGACTAAACTTTGCAAACCGCAGATTTTATTGCGGATTTCGGCAGAATATCGCTTCGTTAACAACATTTGTTCCACAACTTTTCTTAGCTTTAAAATAAGCTAATAGCCCCGCTATCAAATTAACCTGCGAAGATGATTTAGTACGCTTTCGCTAGCTATAAGATTTTGTTTTTATGTTCTCTCTGTTATGTATTCATTGTTGTAAAGTTGGCACATCTCAGTTTATGTTTGTTTGTTCTTAATCTTTCTATCCTTTATGCTTTATAGTTGCTTTTGTGTATACACCTGAACTATCATGGTTGTACCCAGCAGCAAAACGGCTAACATTGACAATTGTAGTCGTGCAATGGTGAACATTATGTGCGGTCAACAAACGGGCTTGAACATTGTTCATTTTAATGCGCGCAGCCTTAATTCTGAGAATTGTCTCCAGTCGATGTTATATGTGTATCTGAGACGTGGTTCAGGTACAATGTAAGCAGTGTCCATTATGATATTAATGATTATAAGTTGTTTCGATCTGATAGGGTAGACAGAAAAGGTGGAGTTGCTATTTACTGCAAAAAGCACCTAAAAACCAAACAGGTTTCGCAGTCACATTCAGAAAGAAGCTGCGTGGAGTACCTGTCTGTCGAAATGTCTAGCCCGTCGTCCAAAATCCTGTTGTCTTGTGCGTATAATCCCTATTAGTATTTCAGCCTATGTGACTTTTTTAATTCTCTGTCCACTGTTTCTGTAGATTATGACCATATCATTCTTTGTGGTGATTTTAATGTGAGCCTGTTATGTCTTGATTCTGCCAGTACTCGTTTAATAGATAACATCTCCTGTGTTGGGTTGTCTATGGTTAATTTATCGGTGCCCACAAGTTATGGTTGCAATTGCGGTCCCAGCTTATTAGATTACTTTGCTGTATCTGATCCTTCTATTGTTTTAAAATTTGATCTTTTATATCTGATCATGACTTGATATTTTGTTCTTTTGACGTTAAGCTTGATCACTATGACGACAATACCTTTGTATGTATTTAACTTCTTTGACTACCGTTCCTTAGATGTCAACAATCTTTTCAGTGGCCTCTTCCAGATTAATTGGTCTGATTGCTGGGGTCTCAGCACCGTCCATGAGAAGCTCCGTTTCCTGAACGAAAATATACTAAATTCGCTCCTCACTCATGTCCCTCCCCGAACCTGTGACAGGTCTTCTTCCTGCCGTTGGCTTAATGGTGCGGTCCGGTCTTGTCCCCTTACGACCAATTCTGTAGCCTCCTGTCCGGTCTCGTTTGCTGGCGAAAAGTTTGAGTTCATTGCAGTGAGCGAGATAGATGTGGTGAAATCTGTTTTTAAGAACAGGTCCAACGCAACCGGGAAGGATGGCATTCCGATTAGACTTGTGAAGGTAATCTTACCGATTATTTTTGTCTCACACGTCCTGTTTTCCCGATGCCTGGAAGATTGCTACTGTGCTTCCTGTAGTCAAAACTAAATCCGCATCCAGCCCTAGTGATTTCCGACCAGTGTTGGCAAAAAGTTAATCTGATTAATGATTAAAAATTAACGATTACAAAGTCAATCGTGATTAATGATTGAGAATAATTAATCGTAATCATTAATATGATTAATGATTAAAATGAAATTAATCGTAATCGTAAGAAGGTGATTGTTTAAGCGACTTACGCACTTAAAATACACCTCTGCTAAAGAGAACGCAGCCACCCTCTTTTTCGAACTTACGGCAGTTCGATGTGGCCATGCGACTGCTATAAATAGGGGCACCTTATTGGTTCTCCTCCCTTCTTCTGTTCTTCTCCTTTTTCGACCATACGGATTGGACCATCATCGAGAAAGTATCATTTTAACCAACTACATCAACCGAAGGAATTTATCAACTTCATCAACGTGGAGTATCACAGTACCACATACATCATTTACTTTGCTAAGTATCAATTTGAATTATACATCTACATTTCAATTACTGCTTGGAACATCTTTGTGTTATATTTATATTGAATTCTCATTCTTGTACTATTGAATTGCAATATTGTCTCATTAAATTGCATATGAATTACATACATGCGCAGTTGCATTATTATACAAATACTTGAGTGCTTCACATCGATTACCCTTACACGTGTAGATCCGTACCTACACGTACCTCTAACACACGATCCAGAAAATAAAGGTCGCGCCATTCGCGGACCGCAAACCCTCTCTTCGTCGATTTGACAGCATCCACCCAATCGCTGACGTCATAAAATACTTTTGTTTACATTCACTGTTGCCAACTGGATGCTTTTCGCGCCAAATATGGGTATTCAAAACGCGAAAATTTTTGAGTTTGGTGCTTGGTGCATTTGTGGTGCTTTTGTTTTTAGTTTGAAGACACCAAATTAGAAAATTTTAAAAAATGGAAGCAAAATTTAGAGCAATCGTAAGTGTGGTAAGCAACTTTACAAAAGTTTTAACAAAATCGTGGCACAGTGACATAAGCGACAACAAAATATGTGGCAGCACCATCAATCATGCCAGAAGAAATCGACCGTCGTGCAAGAAACATTGATTTTTATTAATTTGAATCGGAATCCTTACAATAAAATTATGTAAGTATATATATAAAGTCCATAAAATATACCAATTAAAATTTGGTGCTTTTTCAAATTCAAAACTTGGCAATACTGCCTTTTGTTCGATGCTTCCTCTTTTTCTTTTCGAGTTCGTCTTGCTCTCCCATTCTGGTATTTTTCGACGTCACGGCCAGTTGCTCTCAGCTCGATTGGCGCAATCTTGTATTCTATCATTCTTGCCTCTAACAGATTTGAGAAGCAGAGGCCACTTATTCCAGGCCTCAGCAATTTCACTCCTCAATATCGTACATAGGCGTTTACCTCCGTAAGCCCTCCAACATGGTCCTTGCCAGCCAAATTTGAGCTGGCAACCATAAAATCAAGAAAAACGAACATAGCTACTCGCTAGTATTTTTTCACAAAGTCGTCACTTTGGCAATACATAGCAGCAAGTTACCAGCGAGTTCGTGTTTTTGTGCATTCAAAAAGTTTGCAATTAATTAAAACTACGCTAAACCGACAATCACAAAAACGGTGTGAAAATAGTGCCATCGAGTTACGAAAGTGCTTCGCTTGGTATTTTAAAGCGAACCTGATTGCGAAGTGGAATTGCGATTTCCACAGGCGCAGCCAAGGCAATCGTTCTTCGAAAACTAACCAGTTTTCTTCCAACCTTCCACATGAGAAGGCCCAATATCTCCGAAACAATCGACATAGATCTTGCCGATCCACATTTCTTTAAACCCTCGCAAATTGATATCGTTCTTGGCAGTGATCTAATGCCACAAATTCTTCAAGACGGTGTCAAGCACAATGTCTTCGGAAATCTTTTAGCGCAAAATTCCATATTCGGGTGGTATCTAAGTGGACCCACCAAACGAGAAGTCATTTCATCGTATCACACTCATGTCGTTGAGGATAGTGAAGACTTAAATTCCCAACTCAAAAAATTTTGGGAAATCGAAGAGTTGCCCGAGCACCATCCGCCATCTGAAGATGGCGTTTTTTGTGCGAACCTTTATCTCAACACCACATACCGGCAAGAAGACGGGCGCTACGTTGTCCGTCTTCCGTTCAAAAGAACATTTCCATCGCAGCTCAAGCTGGGTCGTTCGCGCTCAAAAGCCATGAGCCAAGCACTTCGTATGGAACATACCCTATACAAAAATCCCGGCCTAAAAGATGAGTACACGCAAGTACTTGAAGAATATCTAACTCTTAGGCATATGAAGCCCACTCCGTCTGAAGAAATCCATGACAACGGAACCTACTTGTCATTTTATTTACCTCATCACTCGGTCATCCGTGCCGAAAGCAAAACAACCAAAGTAAGAGTGGTAGTCAATGCCTCCAAACCGTCCGAGACGGGACTTTCTCTGAACGATGTCCTCCATACAGGCCCAAGCTTACAAACCGATTTGATGGTTGTAATACTAAATTGGCGTCTCTATAAATACGTATTCAATGGAGACATCCAAAAAATGTACCGGCAGATCCTAGTACATGAGCAAGATCAACCATTTCAACGCATTCTATTCCGTAGGAATAATGATAGCAAACTTCGNCATTTCAACGCATTTTATTCCGTATGAATAATGATAGCAAACTTCGAGACTTTGCACTCAAAACCGTCACGTTCGGCGTAAATTGTGCCCCATATTTGGCCTTCCGCACCTTACATCAGTTGGCAACGGATTCGCAGCGCACGTATCCATTAGCCAAACGCATCCTTACCGAAGAGACGTATGTCGATGACATATTATCAGTAGGCTAGGATATTCAATCCTCCTTAGAGGCACAAGCTCAACTTATTCAGTGTTTATTATCGGCTGGATTTCCTACAGAAGATCTACTAGACAAAAATTTTCTCAAATTTGATTGTTCAAGTTTAACGAAAACGCTAGGCATACGCTGGAATGCCTTAAACGATTCGTTCTCATATTCTATTCAGCCCATACCACCATCAGCAAATACAACAAAACGTCCAATTCTTTCGTCGGTGTCGAAACTTTTTGACCCGGCAGGGTGGCTATCGCCCATCATAATCCAATCAAAAATGCTATTACAACAATTATGGCTGGAAGGCATAGAATGGGACGAATGCGTTAAACCACTATCGTTACACAAATGGAATCAATTCCTGGCAGATTTACCAGCCATTGAACAAATCCAAATACCTAGATGGACAGAATTCGCTCCCGATCGAAAAGTCCAAATCCATGGATTCTGCGACGCTTCCGAGAAAGCTTATTGCGCAGCGATTTATATTCGGACTCAGTCACACGAGAATCATGTAACCTCTCAGTTACTTTGCTCCAAATCGAAAGTAGCTCCATTACAAACAATAAGCCTTCCGCGCTTGGAGTTGTGTGGAGCAGTTCTGTTATCGAAAGCAATAAAACCCGTTCTTCCACAACTTCCTCTAGGAAAATATGAGCTATTTCTTTGGTGTGACTCCTCAATAGTGCTCTCGTGGCTGGAAAAATGGAAGCACATTTCAACGAATCAAAACCCTGCGGACTTGGGAACACGTGGCTGCAAGCCGCAAGAGTTAATCACCAACACACTCTGGTGGCAGGGGCCCGAATGGCTGTTGAAAGAACAAATGCACTGGCCAAAATCACTACATCAAAAAGTCATTCCTCCCGAGATTCGAAAAATTACAACTCTTCACACACTAGAAGATCAATCTGACATCCTTAGTCGCTTTTCCTCATGGCCAAGGGCCGTTCGAGTCATCGCATACATATTTCGTTTCTTTAATCGAACCAAATCACACATAATACAGTCCACACCAGAACCTTCGTACGGAACCGTAGCACTCTCTCAAAACGAAATACAATTTGTAAAAACGCGACTAATCGTACTCGTTCAAAAACGTCATTATCCAGACGAATATTTAAAACTGGCGAACTGCGAACCAATCGCAAAACCGAGTTCGCCCCTTCCCTTGAATCCGTCGCTGGATAAACAGGGCATTCTTAGAGTCAACGGACGCTTGGCAAACGCTCCGCTTTCATACAACGAAAGGTACCCAATTATTCTACCTGAGTCATCAAGATTTTGCTACTTATTTCTCCAGTTTGTGCACACTTTGCTATTGCATGCAGAACATCAACTCATGATCCGAATGGCAAAACAGGAATTCTTCATCCTGAGACTTAAGTCCAAAGTCAAACAAATCATTTTCAGTTGCAAAATTTGTACAATTTCTAAACAAAAAATGCGAACACAAATCATGGCATCGAAATTGCTCCACCAGCACGTTAGTGTTCGGTGGAAAGAAGAGTACCTGAAAGAACTACACAAACGATACAAGTGGAAATATCAACAAAAAGACCTTACCGTTAATGATTTTGTCGTCATTAAAAACTAATTAACACCACCCAACGAATGGCGTCTAGGAAGAATTGTAAAGGTCTACCTTGGCCCGGACGATAAAGTGCGTGTTGCAGACGTTCAAACGCAACACGGCCGGTTCACCAGACCAATCGTAACATTATGTCCTCTACCCAGTCAGTCAGATGTCCCTAAGACACCACCCTGATAGCAACTTTCAATATCTGAACTTTGTTTTCTCCTAGCCATAAGTTTTCAAAAACCCAATACTAAAGCAAGTCTATTTTACAGAAGCAAAATGGTATGCCGCTGCAGCACGACGCCACCCCGTAGACGTAAACCAGTTCTGCAGCTGCGCTTGGTCCTAGGCACCAAGAACACCGCACAGCAGCGTCGCTACTCAACCACACCGCCGTCGCGTAGACGTGAACAAGCTCTTCATCTTCGGCTAGCCCCAGGGAAAAAGGGTGCTACACGACGACGTCGCGATTCAATCACGCCTTCACCAAGTCCACGCGAATCAATTGAGCATCAGCGCGTACCTTCATGCAAGAATAACAATAGACAACGACCTCGAAAGTTAACTCCGATTCCACTTCTTCGGCGTGCACCAGCTGGACATCCATATGAAGCAGCATGCAACAAAGTCCTCGCACCACAGCGTCGTGATCCAACCGTACATCTGTGCTTAGTTTGCCACCGGTATCACGCACTCAGACTTTGCAAGTTTTTCTTGGAGCTGACTGTAGAAGATCGCATCCGTTGTGTACGTAAATTCAAATACTACTTGAATTGTCTAGCTAGAACACATCGGAAGACACAGTGCACATCGCCTGACAACTGCAAGACCTGTGACCGACCACACCACTCGTTACTACATCGTCCACTACCTGGCGAGCGAACCACGGCCAATCTGCCTACGAATACAACCCGCCGGGCCGTAGCAGAAGCCATCAAGGCATTGGAACGAGTACAGGAATCCCTTGCACCAGTGCAACGGGGGCGCCATGTTTAAGCGACTTACGCACTTAAAATACACCTCTGCTAAAGAGAACGCAGCCACCCTCTTTTTCGAACTTACGGCAGTTCGATGTGGCCATGCGACTGCTATAAATAGGTGCACCTTATTGGTTCTCCTCCCTTCTTCTGTTCTTCTCCTTTTTCGACCATACGGATTGGACCATCATCGAGAAAGTATCATTTTAACCAACTACATCAACCGAAGGAATTTATCAACTTCATCAACGTGGAGTATCACAGTACCACATACATCATTTACTTTGCTAAGTACCAATTTGAATTATACATCTACATTTCAATTACTGTTTGGAACATCTTTGTGTTATATTTATATTGAATTCTCATTCTTGTACTATTGAACTGCAATATTGTCTCATTAAATTGCATATGAATTACATACATGCGCATTTGCATTATTATACAAATACTTGAGTGCTTCACATCGATTACCCTTACACGTGTAGATCCGTACCTACACGTACCTCTAACAGATTTGAGAAGCAGAGGCCACTTATTCCAGGCCTCAGCAATTTCACTTCTCAATATCGGCGTTTACCTCCGTAAGCCCTCCAACAGTGATTAAGATTAATTATTTTAATCATAATCGTTAATCGCAATTAATAACAATGTGATTACTTATTGGAGTCTGCCACAGTTACTTTTACAATTTGTATTTAGTAATTATAAAAATGTCGTAATGACAAGAGTATTATAATTCTGTTCATACAAGGAATATTAGAAATAAACGGTTTAACGCAGGTGAATAGTACTACATGCACACGAGTATTAAGATAATAGTTGGACCCTTGAAATTTCAAAGATATGCTTAATTATAAAGTTATTTAAAAAATACTAGACATATTTGGCACCTAGTTAAGAGAGTAAATAAAATTTGGTGTAAAAGATGCATCGATGGATTTTGTGCACCCTTGGTGCGCCCTTTGTAACAGAGAAATCTATGTATGTGACATTAGTGTGCCCCTTATTTGTGTGGCGACAATTTTTTACAACTTCTTACAAAACAAGACCCCCAAGGAGATTCGTTTGGTCGTAAAAATGTGCTTTGGGAACCATTTTCAAAATCTAATAACGGAAAGAGGTGCCTCAGTAGTGCCAAAGTTACATTCACTTATTCACAATATTTTACCAAAAGTAGGAAAACAGTAAAAAAAAAATAGGAATTCAGTAAAAAAAAACTTTTTGTTTCGTATCAATCAATGGACTTATGCACGCTTATCTTAAATATGCCTATGACATTTTCATATATCGACAGGTAGGGAAGTATTAAGAGTATTTTTACATAACTTTAGAGACGTGCCCCAAGTCTTCTCATTATCCAAATTTGAAAATTTTCCGCAGAGCACTTTTCTATGACCAAATGAACCTATCGAAGGGGAGTCATGCTTTGATCAAAGATGCACAATAAGGCGCACCCTAATATGACATTGCTCTGCGCTTGAACGACTAAAAAATGTGAACTTTTGTGTACTTTTTGTACGAGTAGAAACTGCTGGATGTTCTCAAAAAATATAAAGCTGCCATTAACCGTAACGAGCAGAGCGTTGTTAACATCAGACGACGTACAAATGAGATGTAGGTTGGGCGGAGACTTCAAAGCCTTATCTACAAAGGCTTTTACCCTATACTTATGAACATTAAATCTAAGTTTAAGAACTTTGGTCTTTGGAAAACAAAAAAAGATCTTGTTTGTTATGTTTGCTGGGTTGGAGTTGCGTCGTCCGTTGCAGTTGAAAAGCGAAAAAAAATTCCTTTTTCCCTCCTACGCAAGTTAACGCTCTCGTGTTTTCATCAGGGAGTCTTTTTTTCGAAACAAAAACAAATAAACCGTAAACGACCGAAGCAGATCCAACCCAGCAAACAAAAAAAATCTTGCTATGCCAGGGAAAAAATATAACTTTTTTTGGTGTTAATTTACATACTTGCAGAAACTAATATTGACAGTGACCATCCTGGAAAAAGATATTCAAAGACGAAAGCTTTAAAACTAGTTTTTAATTATTTTGTAAAATTTAAATTACATTTCATAATAACTCTGTTGTCAAATAAATCATCTGACATTTTGTGCGATTTAGGTAAATTTAACATAGTTGCAAAGGAAAACATTCTTTCAACTGGGCCGAAAGAAGGCATGGGTGTATTATACTTAATAAATATTTCTTTTAAAACTAGATAGCGCTCCAAAAGGTCAATTTCACGGCTTTCCTCGGCGAAAAAGTTAGAAATGATTAAATTCGATCTCTTTCTTAAATCCATCGTTTCCGGTTCCAGAATCCGAATTAAAATCAAAAAAGTCATCGTCCCTGTGCCGATTATTGACAACTGTAGGATTTTCAAAAACTTCCTCTGGATTTTGCAAAAATTGCATTTCAACGGCTGATTTTAACAAGTTGGTGCAGTGTTTCTGATCAGCAGGAGTAATACGGTAGACAGATTGATGGGATTATTTGCATTAGCAGCATTTATTTGCTTTAACTCGTGAATAATCCTCTCACAAATGCGCATTGGCTCGATGGAAATGCACGAAATAAATGAGCATTTATACTGGATTTTCCAATTTGCATTTGGCAACGCTGTCCAAAATTGGCATATATTTTCTATTGTGAATGGTGACTGTGGTTGACAGCACGGAAATAATTAAAAGAGAATCCGAATACATGCATATCAGAAGTAAGTTATTTTAAAAAACTTGTTAAAAATTAATGAAATATATTAAAAAAATGAATTATATCTAATTTCAGATGGCCAGCGACAAAAAACGCAGTACTTGGAGCACCAGCGACGAGAAAGTGCTATTGGATTTATGGGCGGAACGTGCGGATGACTTGCGACGGGCGAAGCGCAATCTGCATATATATGCGGATATATCGACACAGATGGCGTCAAAGTTTAGTGCAAAGGAGNATATATATGCGGATATATCGACACAGATGGCTTCAAAGTTTAGTGCAAAGGAGGTCTACATAAAAATCAGAAACATGACCCAAAGATATAGGTAAGTAATTTTCCATTTAACCATTCTGAACACTAATTGCAAATGTACGTAAAATTTCAGAGAAGAAAAGAAAAAGGTAGGACCATTTGGTGGGAGTCCCTCGATGTTGAAACATTTTGACGCAGTCCACCAAATCATCGGTTTCAACACACAAACAACGCTGAGATTTTAGAATCTTTTTCAACGGTAAAATTTCAGTTTCACACATAAATATATATGTACATATATTTTTGTAAAACTTTAAAAATACATAAAACTTCTTAATTTTAGGATATATTGACATCAGGACCGCAGCCGGTGCCATCACCATCGAGTTTAGCGTCCCCATCCCCAGTGCCTCAGTCGTATCCATACGCTGCTGCTGCACCGTCATCAACCGCAGCACATCCATCGTCACCAACCGCTGTACCATCACCGTCACCATCGCCTCAAACTTCGTCACCGCTTTCGTCGCCGGTGGTGTTGTCCAGTTCTTCGCCACATGACACTACGAACATATCTTCGACTGCAGCTTCAACATCCTCTAAAAGGAAAAGAAATTATATGGGTGAGGTGGTGCAACTAGCTAAAGAGCAAAACGAGCTGTTAAAAGTGGTCATAGACGACGGAAAAGTTTTAACAGCAGAATGCGTTAATGCTATTAAAGAGCAAAGTAGTGCTACAAAAGAATTCATTAGTTTAATGAAAAGCGTTTTGGAAAAAATGTAACTTTAAGTAGTATACATATGTATGTTTAAACACTCATGAACAAAAAAAAAATAGGCAATAGGCAGATCACCTCCAACTTTTCCATACTTACATATAAGTATACTCATGAACAAAAAATTGGTGTGCGGAATTTTGATAAATTTTGTTTGAATTTGGCTTTTGTTTATTTAATGTTTATTAACATTTTATAAAATTCTAGCGTATTATATAACAAAGAGCATATGTAAAATTCCACATTTCAAAGTTTCGAATTCATAAAAACTGTTTTAGTAATATATTTAGACAAGTTTTTGGTATGCAGTTTTTTAAACCATTAAATTCTAGTATATTAAGTGCATCTTTAAGTAGCTGAGGATTCGAGCTGATTTTTAATAAATCTTTCTGCTGACCATATAAGGAAAATGTTTTCGCATACTCTATAGCGTAGAACCGTCAGCAAAAAAAATTATTAAAAATCAAAGCGAATTCTCAGCCGCTCTGAAGATACACTTAATACACTAAATTTAATGATTTAGAAAACTGCATACCAAAAAATTGTCTAAATATTCTGCTAAAAAAGTTTTATAAATTTTTCTAGATTTTGTACAAGCTTTGAAGTGTGGAATTTTACTTATGTTGTTTTTGTATAAAACGCTAGAATTTTATAAAAAGTTAATAAACATTAAATAAAAAAATCCAAATACAACCAAAATTTATCAAAATGCCGCACACCAATTTTTTGTTTATGAGTATACTTATATGTAAGTATGGAAAAGTTGGAGGTGATCTGCCTACTCAAAAAAGACAAAAAAAAGTAGAATAAAAATTGATTTAATTTTGGTTTTAATCTAATTTTAGGCACATATATATGTATTTATGTAAGCAAAAGTGAATTGAAATAGAAAATAACTGAAAAGGAAATGAATTTAAATAAAAATAACTACTGCGAGCAGCAAAATAGAGTCTTTTTACTTACGAAAACTCATAGCAATGGCATTCCTTATAGCCGCTGCTTTAGGTCATTTTCACCAACTCTTGTTGTGTGATTAGGTTGATTCCTTGCTGATCCGTATTCTGCTGCATCCTGCATCCAGACGGAAGAAACTTCATCGTTCTCAAGTTTTAAAAAATTGTGTAAAATCAGCAGGCCTGTATTATAACGTTAACATTTTTAGGTAGCTACTTGTAAGCCTCTCCCTATTTTTCGGAAACGAGCCTTCAGCTGGCCGAAAGCATTTTCGATCAACACGCCGACATTTGGACAGTCGATAGTTAAAGAGTTTTTCAGCAGCTGGTTGGTTAGCTACATATGGATATGGTTTCATCATGTGGCGCGATAACCGAAAGGCCGAATCGCCCATAAGTAGCACAGGTATATTGAATCCGCCAATAAGCTCGCTTTTTGTACGAAAATGTCTGCGCTTTCATGAAATTGTTTTAATGAACTTTTTTCAAATATGTAAGAGTCATTATTTCTTCTCAGTAGATCCAATATTAATATACTAAATTTTGACCTGTAAGTCCAAATAATTTAAAAATATACATATGCATGCGATACAGTGCAGCCATAAATTTACATACCTGTGATCACAGCTTGCCAATAAAACCACGGAATACCATCCTTTGTAATTGTGGTAATCTACGGCATCCTCCTTTCTTGGCTGCACTTCAATGTGACATCCATCTACAGCTCCAAAGCATTGCGGAAACCCTAGGACTGCGAAACCGTCTACGATTCTTTTGATTTCTTGTTGATTTGGGGGGTATGTATTAATGCAATCCGCAAAATTATCGCAAACTGAGTGGCAAAAATCCAGAACAATTTCACCAACAGTACTTCGGCCAACACCAAATAAACTAGAAACGGTTCTATACTTTGCTGCAGAACCCAATGAGAAAAGTGCGATAGCCACCCTCTTTTCGAGTGGAATACAACGCCTCAGGTTGCTATCAATTTTCTCCATGTTTCGTACTTTTTCGAACACTTTTTGAAAAGCCCTCCTATCGAGACGAAAGTTTTCTCTGAATCTTGCGTCGTCCATTGCACGGACATCGTGCTCCCAAAATCTGCTACTGCGGTCCTTTAGGGATACAACTAATGGTTAAAACCCTTATAAAAGAACATTTTTACTTACGAATTTCCAGATCCGCCGTACGTCGGACTGGGCATTTGCAATCCTGGCTCGTAGGATCGCGTGACTGCTCAAAATAGAATTTATTTGCGCCCTATTATTTATTAATTTAAGTAATAGTAACTGAATTTTTTCACAAAATAAAACTTGATTATTTACGAACAGAATAGCTGTCAATAACAAAATTTTTCTTCTATCCATTTTCACTTGGCGATTACAGAAAACAAAATTCTTCAATATCAGCTGTTTATATGCACAAGGTTGCCGTCTGTCAGGGTGAAATTTCAATTTGCATTTGTGCTTCTTAATTCAAATTAATTTTGTTCATCTGTCTACCATATAAGGCACTTAAATCACTTATTTTTAAATCTAGGATAGGATAATGCTGCAACGACGGCATGTTTGCTAGTTTCACTTGAAAAATCAAAAAACTCCTCATATCTACGTTCCAGGCAGCTTAAATATTTCATGCCAAGCTTGCCACAGTGTCTTAAATTTTGACGTGTAATCTTTTGTAATTTCTTCCTTACTGCATATAGATAGGGAAGTAAAATTCCATAAAAAGTGTCATCTCCCTGCAATACATCAAGAGCATCTGCGACTGGGGCCGCACACAATAAATACTCTTCAATGTACTGAAACTCACAGTCTCTCATCTCAGTAGACTTTTTATTTCAAGCGCTCTTACTAATTGTGAATAGATATTTTTTATTTTTAAAATCTGTTTCAAAGCATCATAAAAACTGTTCCATCTTGTAATGCCTGGTCGAGTTAAACTATGTCCAATAATAGTATGCATACTTTCCGCTGATTTCGGGCGTCCAGCAGCACCCCATAATTCATTACACTTTTCTATAACAGTTAGATGCATTTTGCCAAGAGGCGAACTTTTATCAGTCAACAAGGTTTTCACATCCGCACTTGCAATTAAATTAAAAGTGTGTGCATTACACCTCATATGAAATGGTAGGCTGTACAATGGATATTCACTACTCCAAGATTTTGAAAAATAGTCAATTGCCCAGCTTCATACTCGTTTTCACTTTCACTCGATGTATATTCTTCTTCGGATTCTGCCTCCAATTCTGTTATTGAAGTCTTTTTTATACCAAATCTGTTAAAGGCTTTGACAAAGTTGGACCCATTGTTGAATTATCTTTTATCGAAGAGAACGTCTCCCAGGTACTTTGATGCCATCATTCTTTACATTCAAAACTTCCATCATTTTTACAAAATATTTGTCCTCTACAGCCCGTAGAGATATCATAGACTGAGTGAAAAAATTTACCAAGCTACTTTCGAAGGCTTCTTGAGTTATTTTTGAAGTCTCTTTTACAATTTCGGTTGATCTGCTGCACGACTGACTTTCTACTTTGTTTTTCTTATTTCTATATTCTTTCATATATTTTTTATATTTTTCTACAGCGTTGGCTCCATGCTTACGTTTTAAATGACCAACAAAGTTAGATGTCGTTTTGTCATATCCTTTTATTTCTTTATATGATGAGCATTTTACACACACAGCGACAATTCTTTTATCTGTAGTTTTTTTCACGTACGATGCTAAAAAAAAGTGCCTTCAAACAAAGCTGAACTTGATACTTCTGATTCCATTGTCGATGATAAAGTTTCGTTGCACGAATTAAACGAAGCTGAAGAACTAGATTCTTGATTATTTAAAGAACAAATTCGTTTTTGATCAGAACTCATGATATAAGTATATCGACTAGTTAAAGTAGAGTAACGCAAAGTTCAATGAAAATTCAAGCACACAAGCAGGAAAGCTTTACTGACTGGCACAAAACAAAATTGTTTAAGAAAATTTTTGACAATCAATGTTCAAAGGTACCTTGTGACTGTACATTTCGATTGTGTACTGTACCACACAGTGGCTAGTACCTTAGTTCTAAAATTCGTAATTTCTGTCCGCCAAAATGTCCACCAAGCACCAAAATTTCCGAGAGTAAAAAATAAATTGAAATGACCAAAAACATTTGTTTTTCTGATAATATAACACCAAAAATAGCCATAACCCTTGTTTTTGGCGAATATCACAAAATCCTTGCCATCTTTCGAAAATAGCCAAAACTTAATTACTGAATAATAAGTAAAAAGTAGAGGACAGATCAGCGTTATTAGTAATTAGTTTGGCTCCTCTGATTTGTGGCGTACGCCTTGATAATGTCACACAAAGGGGAGGGCCCTACAGTTCTATGCCGACTCCGAACGGCGATTGTATTTTTAAGAAACAAACTCGGAGGTTTGCCATTGCCTACCGAGGGGCGACCGCTATTAGAAAAAACTGTTTTAGTTTTTTTATTTTTTGATGTTGGTCGGAAACCGGGTTGAACCCAGGTCCTGCGGAATTGGAGCGCACACTGCTAACCATTACACCACAGCGGTCAGCGTTATTAAATGCATATAATTGGTACTCAGATTTCCCTTCAAATATAGTTTCACAATAACAAGAAGAAAGGGATATATATCCTTAACTACGGCGACCATAGTCCTCAGTGTAAAATTAACAACATTGAGTAAATATTATAAATAGGCATTCTTTTGTTTTGGCCGGTGCGAAGAACACTCGTCAATAGTTTATCTCTTATGCCAATTGGCGATAATAAGAAATAGAAACGCCAAATAAAGCCACATCTAAGCAACTGGATTCCGTCGTAGAGGAGATGTTCGTTTCTCTTGCTCATATAGCATAATGCAATCAGCGGGGTCTTTACAATATGTGTTCTATATTTTAAATTTAAAAAAAGTCACCTTTTCAGCACAACGAAGTGTTTACCACTTACATATGTACATACTTATGTATGTATTTACATTTCATAGTTAATTTGCTTATGTTCAGGTAGCTAGATTTCGCATCAAATCTTCATTGAATTTCTGCTGTTATTAAAAACCACTTAATCGTTCAATATGTATAATCAAATTAAAAATTAACGATTAAAAATTCATTTTTCTAATTGTAATCACAATTACTGTATTAATTAAGATTAATTTAATCATGATCAACCGTAATCTAAATAAAGTTAATCAAATTAATAAATCGATTAATGCCAACACTGTTTCCGACCCATCCGCATACTACCAGCCTTGTCTAAAGTTTTTGAATCTTTGTTATCTGAACAAATCTCTTCCCACATCGGTAAATTCAACCTTATATCCCCATGTCAATCCGAATTCAGACTCCATCACAGCTGCTCTACTACAATGGTAAAGATACTTGATGACATTATAATACTGTTCCACAAGAACCACTTAACTCTACTATGCTTGCTGGACTTCTCTAAAGCCTTTGATTCAGTTAGCCATGAACTACTGTGCTTTAAATTAAAAAACTACTTTGGGTTTGGAGAGTCAGCAGTAAAACTGATGCGTAGTTATCTGAAAGAGAGGTCTCAGCGTGTCAAGCTTGGATCTCAAATATCTGAACAAAGGCATTTGTTCGCGGGTGTCCCACAAGGGTCAATCTTAGGACCACTACTATTTAGTTTGTTCGTTAATGATATATTTCGGACTTCTATGAACGCCAACATGCTTGCCTGTTCGGACGATGTCCAGCTCTATATGTCAGGTCCTCTTGAGGACTCAGCTAATTTGTGCGCAAGCTTCAACAGAGAACTTATGTCTATAAGGTCCTGGGCACAGTTAAATGGGCTTCGTCTTAATTGTGACAAGTATTTTGTTTTACCTATTTGTAAGAAACGTCTTAACCTAGTAACTATTCCATCGTTACACATTGGTGGCAAACCAATTAAATTTGTGTCAAAAGTAACTAACCTTAGGTTTATTATCAACACTGGCCTTACCTGCATTGACCATGTGAATTCAACTGTAAGCAAAGTCTATAATACTTTAAGGAATTTACGAATGTCTGCTCCATTCACACCGATAGAAATCAGACGTAAACTCGCAATCCAACTTATAATGCCCATTATCTGTTATTCTGAGGTAGTCTACAGCAGGTTAGATTCCCAATCAGCTCACAAAATAGATGTAGTATTTAACCATATCACGCGCTATGTGTTTGGGCTAGCAAAATGTGTGCATATTTCCGCTTGGAGAACGGGCATACTTGGCTGCGAAATTTCTGAATATCTTAAAGCTAGAAATTGTATATTCCTTTTTCGTCTCATGACAGATAAGGCACCCAAATATCTATATGAAAAATTAACGTTCCCCAAATCCACTCGAGTAAAGGACTTGACTGTTCCTACCTACAATTATCTCAGCTCTGCACGGCTATTCTTTGTCACTGCTATCCGCACCTGGAACTCTATTCCATCCCATATTCGCAGTAGTTTAAACAAAAGCAACTCTAAAATGTTCTGTATGCGCATTTCCGTTAGCTTCACTTCAGTCCCTGTGATGTGCTCTCTATGTACTTGTTTAATTAAGTCTTATTTTAAGTATATGTCCTGGAATTGTACAACTCACTTAAAAATACTACTCTGTTAATTATATTATGTTACTTGTCAATGTTATTATGGCTTATTAACATTTTATTTTTACTATTTTTATTGAGCATTGTACCACGATTCTTTATTAGGAAAAATTGAAAAAGCAACAAAGTCTAAGCGGTAGGTTATAGCAGCTATTTCGGAGATCACCACATCTGTTCATCAGACTTCTTTTTTCTAGACTTCAGCAGGGATCGAACCTGCGAATTCGATGTTCAAAGTCAGAAGCGTTAACCACTGAGCTATGTACATCCCGTAAACTCTTGTTGCTAATTCATTTTCCTTATTCAACCAACTACTATCAAGTGCAGCTGATTTGCCGCTATTTAAACTCGACAGCGTGGTTGTTGTTGTCAATTCTTAAATCCATGTGCTTATTTTGCTTTTCTGTATAGTTTCAGGCAGGCTCTTCCTAAACTATGTATTTGTCAATGTTATTGTGGCTTATTAACATTTTTTTTTTAATATTTTTATTGAGCTTTGTACCACGATTGTTTATTAGGAAAAATTAATAAAGCAACAAAGTCTAAGCGGTAGAAGTTATAGCAGCTATTTCGGAGATCACCACATCTCTTCATCAGACTTCTTTTTTCTAGACTTAGCGGCAAATCAGCTGCACTTGATAAGAGTTGGTTGAACATCGAGATAGCTCGAAGCGTTTTAGACGTACTATTACAAAAGAACACGTGTCTCTAATTGAAGAACCTGGGTCTCGATACCTTAGCCATGTTGTACCAAAATCTGGAAGCGCAAAACATATAAAGGAGGCAATAATATTCGATCTAGTCAGTCGATGTTCTCTTTCCCTTCAAGAGTTGGATGTTGTGGGATGTGATGGAACAAACACAAATACTGGCTGGAAAAACGGT